CTTACCCCATCAAAAACGAAGTAGGTGATTTGACTTTGTAGTGTGGTTAAAGCATTGTCGCAGTAAAATTCAGCGGAGAGTGTATACAACATGATTTTGTCCTGAAGCTCATATTTTTTTAATGGATTCTTTTTTTACCGGTTTATTGACTTGAATCTTTTTTGGAGGTTTTTTTTCTTTTTGTCAGAGATTTTCTCGGACAAGGTTAAAGAAACGACTCGGCACACAGGAAAATTGTCTTCAATATCGACGGAAGCGGATCTCTGAGAGCGAACGACGGTTTAGTTGCTCCGTGATCACGCTCAGAGCCCCCCCTCCTCGAGTTCGGACATTTATTTGTGACATATGCAAATACAAGAAAATCATTGCCCCCGATATTTGCATACCGTACCCCTGGTCCGGCCCCTCGGTAGTGATTGGTTACCTGGGTATGAGCTTTGAACCACCGGCACGTTGGCGCCTTTCGGTCTGGTCTACACTGTATCAACATATCGCGGACTTTGCGGATGACAAATGTCGCCTGGGCGCGACGGGTGTTCTCAAAACGTCTTTTGTTGTTCGACCGCTGTTCCCAAATTACTCGCTCCCCCTTTGTGACCGGATCTGATCTCCTCTGATTGCCCACCCGCTTTGATGTGTTGATTGTGGTGTGGGCTGCAACAGCCCCCAGCCCAAATGGCCGGCACCTTCTGAAAAGGAATTTGGGGGTGCTGATAACGCACCCAGATGCTTTGACGTGCCCAGATCAAACGAGACTTTAAACATGATACAATTTCGCCCATAGATTCCTCTAACACTTTTCCTATTTAAGGCTTAACAAGTCATTAACATTGATTGATTGTGGTACTTGGTCATGTTATGGTGGATTCCAACAACAGCAAAATTAGAACACATTACTCACTTAAAAAAAACATGAACTAATCACAGGGCAAATCTAGAGACAACTACTCGCATTAATGCTATCACTGAGTTGGAACTGGACCCACACGGCCAAGTTGCCATTGGTGACCACAATTCTGTAAGATTAGTTGGCCAAATTGAGAAATTGGCAGCATGGTGGTCCATTGGTTTTCCTGCAGCAAGTTTAGGCTCAGGCCTGGGACGACTTCTCCGCCGAATCTCCTCCACAGTCCCTGGATATATTGTTCGGTCAATCGACTCGAGAAAGACGATGATTGTCTTAACTTGTTATCCCAGTGACTTTTTTTGGCTGCTTACCAGTCCAGGGTGACTCTAAAAATGTCATCTGATCCATTGAATGGATGAATTGACACAATTGGTTATGCACACGTAAAATGCTAGATATCGGTGGTGTTATCTTTTGTAGGTTGCCTCTGGGATGATTCTGGTCATGGCCTTCTTCCTAATCACATACACCTTCCACTCAACCTGGGTGACAAGCGAAGCCTACTCCTCCCCCTCAATTGTCTTGTCTGCTCGTGGAGGGGATGGCAGCCGCATCATTTTCGATGACTTCAGAGAGGCCTACTACTGGCTTCGCCACAACACCCCGGAGGTTTGTAATATCCCAAAATATTGGGTAGGGCTCCAGAGACAATAGATCAATGCATTCTGAACTCCCTTGCGTTATGCTAAATTGCATGATTTCATTTCAGGATGCCAAAGTCATGTCATGGTGGGATTATGGCTACCAGATCACTGCCATGGCAAATCGAACCATTCTAGTGGACAATAACACGTGGAACAACACGCACATCTCGAGAGTTGGCCAAGTGAGTACAGCAACCAGAAAGAGGCGCCATGCTCATGACAAATCTCTCTGACGGGCTTCGTCTACTTTAGGCTATGGCGTCCACGGAGGAGAGAGCCTATGAGATTATGAGGGAGCTGGATGTCAGTTACGTCCTGGTCATCTTTGGAGGGCTTACTGGTTATTCCTCGGATGGTATGTTACAACTAGGGCGAATTCAAACATGCAAAATTGATGCTTACCTAAATACAGGAAGTATTTTCACTCATGTTTCTCAATGGAAAGTGCTTTTTCCACTGACCTGTTGTGATGGCTTCCACTAGTTTTGATGCCATTTTTAGTCCTAGTTGAGTGACACTGTCATGTGCCACAGCAGACACGGGCGCCGCCATCTTATTTATTATCTGCTGCTGACTGTCAATCACAAGTCTGAACATGGCTGCTGTTAGATTTGTGGAAGTTTGGTTGGGCGGACATCTACGTTGATGTCTTTTGATTGTGTGGTTACGACAAACGGCAACGGTTCGTTGTCTGAATGAAATAGAAGCTCGAGTAAAATACCTTTCATACTGTTGACATTATTTTGCCACGGAACAAAGCAAACAGTGTTTAGATGTTTTTTTCCTCCCCTCGCCGTCCATAAAATCATGAACAGGTGAGTTTTTCTGTGTGTTATGCAAGATAGGCTTAAAAAAGAATAAGAAAAATAGAAAATAGGTGAATTTGCGAATCCTGCACAGTTGATTTGCTAGGTCCCCTGTGCAAGAAATTTTTGGATTTGTCATTAATTGCTCGTCCTAGAAACACAAAGTACCAAGAAGTATTTCATCTGTGATCTGCAATTGTGTTCACACAGATATCAACAAGTTTCTGTGGATGGTCCGTATTGGCGGCAGCACTGACACAGGGAAGCACATCAAGGAGCACGATTACTACACGCCCACGGGGGAGTTCCGCGTGGACCGCGAAGGCTCGCCCGTGCTGCTCAACTGCCTTATGTATAAGATGTGCTATTACCGCTTCGGCCAGGTCTACACCGAGGCCAGTGAGTAACTTTGATGAGTCAAGTGGTCTCAGTTTATCAGTGTCTGAAACTTGCGCGACATTCACGGGACATGACCCCAAATTCGATTGAGTATGTGTAAGTATGAGCTGCATGTCTGTTTTGTATGTGTTGTTTTTTAATGCAAAAATGCTCAATTGTGTGCATTGAAGTGTAATGATAATCATTGCAGAGCGCCCACCAGGTTATGACAGAGTGAGGAATGCTGAAATTGGCAACAAAGACTTTGAACTGGATGTGTTGGAAGAGGCCTACACGACAGAGCACTGGCTTGTGAGGATATACAAGGTAGGGCTCTCCTCACTGGGTTCTTTTTTTTTTTTTTTTTTGCGCAAAGGCATCTGTCAACGGCACTTAGTTGACACATTGAGGTTAAACTTGATTTAAACGTCACCTTCTTTTCATAGAGCACCCAATAAGGCCGTAACAAAAGACATGTCAGAACTGTGTAAACGTTTAGAGGCGGTGAAAATCCTGGTTTTAAAAGGTCGTGTCAAAGAATCCTATTTTATAACATAATAAATACGATATTTGTAAATTACGGCAGAATGGTATGGTGGTGAGCACATCTGGGTGTTGGGGTGACCATCAACGTTAGCATATCCGTACCACCCGTGTTTTCATTTGAAATACGAACACCATTTTTTTTTTTTTTAAATCCATTAAAAATGTTTTATGTTTGTATGTTTTGCCTATTGTTTTAGTCTCCAACAAGGGTCTTTTCCATGATTTATTTTCACTTTATTATTTATTCTAACTTGTAGGTTAAAGATCTGGACAACCGGGGTCTTTCAAGAACATAATCCCTCCTGAAGACAATGAAACACCCTGTTTGCGCACAGCACTGAACACCTTCCCCTGTGGTCAACAGATGAGCTGTTCAACAATACTTTTTTTATACGGTTTGTTTTGGGGAAGAAAATTGCAAAGAGATTTGTGTGGGTGTGTATGTGAGAATCATTTTTTTTTTTTAATTGTTATAATAAAATGTCTGAGAAGGAATCCAAAGGAGGAGGTTTTCCTATTACCTATTCTGATCATGGAAAGTCTAATTTGACAAACTGGCCAAAAGACAGAAGAGACCTTTTTCATTTTGTACAATGTGGTCGAATAAAGCAGGTTTCAACGTGGGGAAAATTGGTGTGCTTTAATTTTTTTTCTGTGTCAGCGGGACGAGCTTTTTTTCTGACTCTTATCACAGCAATATCTCTTCAGTTGTCAAAGGCAATTTGTGATCCCAAATCGAAAATGGTGATACTGATGGCAATTTAAAAAGAGAGGTGACTGGATGAATCGCAACAGTAAGAATGATTACTGATGAACTGGTACTTTGCACCAGCATAAAAAGTAGCCACATTCTTTTGCCAATCGCCGTATTGACTACAGTACTGCTTTTTCTGGCCACTTCTGGCATCTTCTGTATTTCTCACTTTCGTGACAAGAGACATTAAATGTGCCAAACTAGAAATTGTTCACTCTGTTAACAAAGATGACTGCCTCCATATGTTTCTTATAGAGCAATTTGTGGAATCGTACAACATATTAGATGTTCCGTCATGCTTAACTGGAGGTAGTGTTTTTTTTTCTGCATAGGCTTCATTGTGTTACTATAAACAAATCACTCGTGTTAAAAAGTATGTGTGTGTGTGTGTGTGTGTGTGTGTGTTGTATATATATATATATAAGTTCAGTCAGGATTAGCTTTTTTTTTTTTTTTTTTTTAAAACAAACCTGACATTTGAGTGTGTACTTTTTATACCTACTCTAGGAAAAATGGTTGAGAGAAAAAAAAATCAACTTGACAATCTTTTTAAAAACACTGACTATAATTTTCTGGGTTAATGTAGCAAGTGACCCTGAGCATGATCTGCGGCTGAGCCCAAGCTATTGTGCACTAGGCAGCATATTTCGATGCAAAATGCCAGTCATGAGATTCCATTCCATTGTGCACATATTCAAGACAACCATAATTTTGCAAAAAAAAAAAAAAATCCACAGGTGTGTGACAGTTACAGAAACGGTTTGAGTAAAGAAATATTACATTCATGGTAGCATTTTTAAAAATAAATGGTTGAATTGAATGTTTTTGTTTTGATTCTGTCAGTTTCACATTTATATTATTGACCATTTTAGTTTTTGTGTTCGTTCTCTTGAGCAGGTTCCTTTCCCCCCATATTTTCAAATGGACAAGTGGTATTCATATAAAAATAAATAAAATAATGAAACTTTTGTTAAAAGGTCAGACAAAGTTGCCTTTATTGTAGTGAGCTACTATAGTTGTGAAAATATAAGTAAAAGTCAGTACATTCAGAACTTAAAAGTGGAAAGGCAAATGTTAAAATTTCATCAAAACCAAAAAATAATAAGATCACTGGATATATTAAAATTAGTAGACAAAAATATGGTCACATTGTTTAGTTTCAGTCCGAAAATATATACACTTTTTTTTAAACCAACAATGTAATATAGTGTATTCAGTACAGACATACCATGTGCATCATTACAGTTTGACCTGGTCTGGCAGGTCATCCGTAAGAGCAGAATTTTTTCTGTAGACATAAGCATTGAGACTGTCATCCAGTTTTACCAGCTCGGCCAGCGATGACACACACGGGTCATGATCGAGCACGGACGACGGCAGATATGAAGATTTGCGCTCGATGCGACGGGAGCGGCGCACGGGCGTCAGAAACTTCAGATCTTTGATGTTGCTTTTCCGCCTCGAGGTGCTTGTCTGGACCTCGCCTTCGATTGTTTTCTTCACGCTGCAACATATGAAGGTCATAAAAGTTTTGACATCTCGGGTTGAGTTCCCCTTTCACATTACAATAGGATGTTAATTCTATGATTGAGATACCTTTGCAAATATGGTGTTGTTTTGATACTGTATTTTACAACGTAGGCATGACCCATCTGTGGTACGCTGTCCATGTCAGAATCATCACATTGAACTTCTTCATCCATCAGAACTTTCTTTTTACTCTCATCTGTCAACATCTCCTTGGCATCTACATTCTTAGACACGTCCTTGACACATCCATCCTCCGTAGCTCCTTCCTCCTCTTCAGCAATGTTGCACATGTCTGTGCTCTGTGGTAGTTCTGGGAAGACATTGGCATCAAGTTATGCAAATCATCACAAAATTAGACTTTGTACCCAAGATCTCTTCAGATCCAGAAATTTTACTTGTGAGAATTGGAAAGCGGCGCACACAAGGGATGGACGGATTACACCGTTCAGCAAATTTAAATCAAATGTGGCTCAGTGGACCCAAAATGTATTTTTTGACGAAGACTTCTAAAATGTTTTTACTTTTGCCGTAGCACATTAGGTTTTTGAAATATTTTTGTACATAAGTTTGACCTATAAAAGCTTTGTCAAAATGGATTTTACAACTATGACGTTTTTTTTTTTTTTGCGACAACGTGCCCTGAATTCATAAATGTATCAATTATAAAAGCCTAATGAAATGAAGAAAACCATTAGGGCAGATTCAGAATCAGCGCGAATAATTCATCTCGAAAAGTTTACTTGCATCGCTGATTAAAAAAAATTAGTATAACTTGGTTAACCAATGTTATCAACCGACCCCATTATTACCGCCCATCTTCAGCAATATTGGCATTGGAATCATCTGGAAGTCACTCCTAAAACCAGCTTTACGTTCCTATTATCACAGTGTTCGTTCATACAGATAGAACTTTTTTTCTACTCTGTAATCTGTTGCATACTGCAGCCATTTAACGTGTCAAGTACAGCTCGATTTGGTTGGAAAAAGCTTTCAGTTTTCAATCTCATGTTGCACCGCTGCGACTAGGTGGCAGACTGAGCAAACCTACGGGGAAGCGAATCACAATACGCCGTCACCTTACATAACACACCTACGGTGCCTAAGAGTCAAAGAAAATAAATAAATAACGGGGTGGGTAATTGCAAATAAATACTGTTGTGTTGGGCAAGAATGTACTAACAAGAACAAACCCATAATTATTCATAATTATTTACTTTGTACAATTTTTTTTTTAATCGCTCAAGCCATGCTGGGTTCACCTTCAAACTATGCAAGCACAGCAATTATTAATTCGAGCCACAAAGAAAAGCAAAACTGACAATCACAGCTTTTTGGGGGATGTTTTTTTCCAGATAATTGAACAGAGAGGTCCCAGAAAGCTTCATTGTGCTGCCTACGTCACCTGCAGCCAGGTAGTCGGCAGATCGAGACGAGACGCAGCAGAATCTCGCGATACTAAGCTCAGCAACTAGCTTTGGTTGGCTATTACTGCCTGCTAAACACGTTGCCATTTCGCTCTTAACTCAACAGTTACAGCCTCCATGGCAGCGAATAAACTACACTTCTTACAAGTATCGTTCTCACGAAGGGATTACGAGGAGTAATTAACAGAGGGAAAGCCGGAGAAGCCATGCTAATTTGCTAAGCTAACGTAATGTCAACGTGAAAGACCGGAATTAAAGTGCTTGGGTGACGGAGTACACTTCACAGAGGTCTTGCTGGAACTGCGTCAAAGCGGCGCGTGTCCAACGTTGATCAGCAAAAGAGCAGCCAATTTCATAAGGGTCTGCAGATACATTTTATTCAAACTAATCACACAGCTCAACTAAACAAAATGTTAGGGTGTCTCGTACGTCAACCAGGAGGAATGGACTCCAAGATTCAACGTATTATAATGAAGATAAGCAACCGAGAAAGTGAATGCACATTCTATGTTGGATGAATATTTTACAAATGTGATTTGTTTTCACGATACAGTACTGGGATTTGACTTGGATTTTTGAGATCTGCAAAACAAATGTTTTCACAATTACATTACAGTAAACCTCATCTTTTCATTTTTTTTTCATCACCTTCTGCCAGAAACTTTTTTTCTGCCTCATTTAGATTGATATCCACATTTGTGCAAAAATATGCAGGCTACTTTGCTTTTGTTTACATTTGATCATTTTATTCAGCAGCACTTACTGACTGCATTAACCTTTTTTGGGGGGGGGTCCGTTTAATGTCACTTCAACATAAAATGAGAAAAGGTAAGCAGTCATAGTGTTGTATCACGGTATATCATTATATAAAATGGCCAATATCATGATATTTTTTTCCCCCCATATCATCCAACACTAGTATCAAAACTACCTTAACTTGAGCCAGGAAAAGCCATTTTGGCATTTCAAGGCACTCTTCAAATGAAGTTATTTTCTGACACATTTGACTCCACCCATTAAAGTAAACGAGTTTAATATTTCCATAGTTTCATTATGATCCTCACTGTTTCAATAAAACTTTACAATGATTCAGTGTGTTGACCAGAGTTGGCGTTAAGAAATAAAACCCTGTCTATGTGCCATTATAATCAGGCCCAACATTCTGCTGAACCATCTGTTATTATGCGGGGGTCCTCAGTTTATGACTGAATTTTGTTCCTATGACAACTACATAACTTGAATCTGTGCTCATACCCTTACATACAGGGTTCCCACTTCTGAAATTATTTTCCAGTGCATTTGTTTCATCTGATACAGTACAAGTCAAATTATCACAACAGACACGAATAAATTCCACGCGCAAGCTGTTTGAATGTACAAAATATAAAGTGCAATTACACTTATAAATAAAAATAATTGCACCTTATACTTTGTACAGGTGGCTTTGATGTTACAAAATAAGACACCAAATTGACAAAATACCGGTGCCACCCTCTTGTTATTGAGTATGACTGGACCAGAGGACACCTTGTATTATAAAAGTATTTTTTTTTCCTGCTTGTATACATTGTTCTGGTATAAACCATCTTGTTCTTTTATGCTACACTGCATTTTACACTCTATAAAACTGCACTCACCATCCTGATATTTTGAAGGCGTCTGCATGGCTTCCAGAACATCACACAGGTTCAGAACAACCTAAAAATACAATAAAGAGCAATGTAAGTGTTAAACGCAACAAAGCATAGTGCAATGGTATTATTTGAATTCCCTTACATCATCAAATCCATCCTGCGCAGCAGGCAAATCCAAATCAAAATTTTCTAGGCCGAAACTTGTGTTCATTTTCACTGGAGGCTGCATCTCCACAGTTTCAGGAGCTTCCTGGGCAGCGTGCTCCGGTTTTGGTTGGCCCAGACTGGGCTCTGGTTCTGTCTTTGCATCATCCTGCTGTCCCTTAACATGAGCCTGGGATTTCATACTGGCTTTAGGATTTACAGATGCAGATATTTTTGTTTCTGTGCGTGTGCTTGTCATAGCCGGTCTCTTTAGAGTCTTGCCCTTGGAAGCCAGCCACACAGCTAATTTTGCCCTGCAATGATGAGAAAGTACTGAGCATGCCTCACCGGCAAAATGTTAAGCACAAACAATCAGGATTTTAGATGAAGACTTTCACCTTCTTTCCTCTGTCGTTTCCGTACATCTGTACTGGCTGAGGGTGCTTGTGACAGGAGGCTTCTTGACCTTCTTATCAGTTATGGCAACCTTTGGCTTGGTGGGTGCCGCTGTTGTGTTTCTGGAGCTGGTGGGTCTTAATGTTGCCGGGACAGTAGAGGAGGTCGGAGGGCGGGCAGAGCGAGGCCCTGGAAGACGGCCACTAGGTCCAGGTTTGGATGCTTGCGCGCGTCCATCCAACAGCGATTTAGACGTCGTTGGGGCAGATTTTTGGAGGTTGCGTCCAGGGACATCAGCAACAGACTTTGACCTGCTTTTTGTCAAATTCACAACCTTTTGGCTCTCCGTTTTGGGTGGTGCTGGTTTTGACCCCGCCCCTCGAGCTGTCGCACTTGACTTCCAAAGTGATCCAATTTTTGACTCCACAATTTTACCTTTGTAGAGGCCGGGGGCAAATTTAGATGAAGCCACTGCAACCGGTGCCCTTGTGGTATCTGTAACTACTTTTTCATTTTTCACTATCTGCTCAGCAAGAATGGCCCGGTTCCGTGCAGGTTGTTCGACCTCACAGACAGCACCACCATTCCCATCTTTGTGTGTGGACTTGCCTTTCAGAACCTCACCAGATGTCGACTTCGTGTCTTGTATTTTGGAGGTGATTTTACTGACACCATTTCTAACCAGGATCTCCTGTTTCCTATTGCTTTTACATTGGACAGAGACAGCTGATGTTGATTTTGAAAAATCTCTTCTGATGAAAGACTTGACTCCATCACCAGGCTGAGCATTCTCCTTATTTCCCTGAAACAATTCAAAACAAACTTTTAGAGCAATCAAAAAAAAAAAGAAAATTACAACCTTTCACCAGATGCTTTAGACTGGTTTGGCACTGCAGATCCAAATTCCCAATTCTAATTTAATGCCTTTATCAATCTACATGGATATTTCAAGTGACAAATAACCAAAATGGCTAAGTTTACACTGAGAGAAAGAATAAAACAACCCGCATTCTTCAAGTATAGTGAAGCACGCATATTCACAGGAACATGTCCTCTGTTATTGACATAAAAAACTCACATACAGGCATTTGCCATTTTGATTATCAGGGCAAAGCCATGCTTCATTAAAGTATCTTTTGTAAAAATTCTCAACCAGATCAATTATTTCCGGTTGTTTGAAACACTATCTGCTCGTCACCACTTTTCTCCCAAAGAAAAATGAAAAAAATTGAGTTTCAGCAAACAAGAGGCACTACTGCTGAGCATTGTTGTATGCCTCGTTGTCAGGCGTCCAATCAGTACAACAGTGTTTTCCTTTTTTTTTAGGGATGAAGAAACAATATTGATGTTGCAGCGGAGGTCCAGCCTTTATTGTTTTGTGTCCTCGGATAACGGTACGTCTGTCCTCACCAGATAATATGTTTTCAGTTCACATGAATGCATCTGATGTGGCTTTAAACAGGCTGTCACTGTGAATGAACAGCTTGCTTTCATCAACATTTTCGGAAATCGATAAATCATGTCTACATATTTATATATATGTAACTAAGCAATTACATGTAATGTCAGTTTTCCATCATCGGCCCTCTTTAAATGCTACTCGCAATAAGGTGACAAAGAAACTTACTTTTCTGTTGGCTGGGGTTTTTCTTGAAACAGCAATGTTGCTCATGGTGCAAGCGCAACCTCGAGATATTTCACTCGTTTGTCCTAAAACATAAGATTAGGACCTTCTAATAATTACAATAAATCATAAACTCCACTCAATATATCAAACTGAATACATCAGATCGAATCCACAATTAAATAGTATAACCTTAAACTAAAACAACAACAACATAGTTTTCTTTTTACTGACAGCGTATTGTACACTTTCAGCATGACTGCAACATTTACTGTGTGACTAGAAGATGAAATAGAAAATGCTGTAAATTTATCTGGAGTAATTGGCCAATCGGAGCCGTTCACGGCAAAATAACATGAATTACCGGTCATGGTAGAATAACCACCGACATTATATTATCCACTCAATTTTTTGTCGTTCAAGAGAGAGACCGGCGTAATTCTGATCTTATTCACTCAATTTTTTTGTCGTTCAAGAGAGAGACCGGCGTAATTCTATTCACTAAGACAATTACTTGATGGAAATTATTAGTATGAGAAAGCCCTTTGATCGCGATTTAGCCGTTACTCGTAGTTGTCTGGAGCAATTTCTGCAGGAACTGAAGATGTTGCTCAACTCAACTAAACTGTATTTATAGAGTACTTAAAAACAACCACCGCTCTAAACAAATTGCTGTACATGGAGCAACAATAATGCATACAACTACAAACAATAATACTGTGCCATAAATGAATAGCAAAGGCTGTAGAAAGCACAAAAACAGGACTAAAAATCAAATCAAAGCTCATGCCGAGCCAAACTATTATTAGTTTGCTTGAATAGCGTCAAACATTGCGATTTATAGCCTCGTATGAACAATGACATCAGTCAATATATCTAAAACAACTTACCCTCCGATTGAACGTGTGTTGTAAAGTGGAAGAGCTCAATAATGTGGCAAAAGTGTGACACAAAAAACAAAACCGGCTACTTGGCTTGAAATGTATCATTTGAGTTGCCGCTACTACACTCTTATTGGTTAGGGTGATCTCGCGAGGGTATGAAATCAACCAATAGGATGTGTCAAAACAAGGCAAGAGATCGAAGCACCGCACTGGTTTGAATTATTTTGAAACGAAATAGCATTCCAGTATTACTGGTCACGAATGCTGTTCCGCCTTAAATTACAGGATACACAACCAGGGGTTTAATAAACAAAAATGAAATTTACTGAGGAAACGTATTTTTATTTTTATCTAAATGTATTAATGTATCTAAATTTACGTTCATCAAAATTAGATAAAAAGTAAATTGTACATGTTGGAATTTTTTTTTCTTTTATTGAGGATTCAGATTTAGTCAGTCCAAACAATGCAAGCATTATTCCCAAAACAAATCGGATATTGTTTCCTCTTCATTCGACCAAAAACAGCGCAGTGAGGCCATGTTAATTGTATATTTTCGGGGGTAGGGTAACACTTATGAAATATTTTGAAATTGACCTCTTTTATTTTGTTTCTAATCAAATATGGTCTAAGCAAGAACCAATTAGTTTTCCAGTCTTTATCTTCATGTAAATGTAAAAAAACTACTGCAGGTTTGGAAACACGTTTTTGAACGCTAACTACAGTAGGAGGTGCCTGCACGATTTCCGGTGCACATGCTTTATTTGCTTGTATATTGGAGATTTGTCGAAACATGCAAAGTAAAAAATTGATTTGATTGAAAATAAATAGATCCATCAATCACACCAAATTCTACAAAACGGACTAACCGCGATATTCAACGTCATCCTGTTGTCTTCCAGACACTCTTATTGTGTGACGTCATTAAAAGACAGAGGCTCCCGGGCGGATTTTTTTTTTTTTTTTTTTTTTTTTTTTTTTGGGATTGTTGTTGTGTTTGCCGTAGTTAATTCTCGAAATAGTCGAACTGTTTGCGCACGAGCCCGTGATATCGCAGGATTCCCAGAACTACGCAGACCAAGCGAGGAAAGAGCTTTACTACTGTGTTTTCACCTCTAATAATAGTAAAGATACACTATAAGTGAATTCGAGACTTTGATTTAACGAGGAAGCCTGGATGTACAGTACAATAGAGTACAGTACAGTACAGCACAGAACTTTATGTATGTCAGAGGCAACTCATTTTATTTTGAAATCCACGAACGGAAGTCCACCCATCTGTCTAAAACGGTTGAGCGCTACAACTAGCAGTACTTGCTACCGTTTGAACTTCTTTCACATCACTACCCCAGTATTGAGGCAAACTACACAAAATGCAGAATCAGTGTGCTGCTCCAAACTGTACGAGTTTAAAATCGGACTTGTATTCACTCTTCAGGTTTCCGCTTGATGCAGAAAGGTAAGCCGAATCTGATTACTCGCTCCTCAATGGAAATGTCTCTAAAAAATAATTAATCGTAGCATTGGCGTCTGTGCTTTTGTTTTGACATTGAAATGTCAAGAAACCGAATCACGCCGAGCATTTTATTATATTGTGCATAAGTACCCTACTATATCAGCTTTTGTGTTCATCAGTAAACGTAAAACTATCAAACAAAACTACAGATCAATATTCACAGTCTTCACCGTCAGGCCTTTTTCGATATTTGCCACCTTTTCTGCTTTTAAATGGCCACGCACAGATGATCCGTCATTTCTACGTTCCGTTTGCACAAAGCGCAGGTTGGGAAAACAACCAAAAGAATTCGATATTTATATTCAGTACCACTTTTTCTTACATCGTGAAAAATGCACCCGAAGGAGCTTCCAGTCCCAACTTTAAAACAGTTTGTCTCCCTTGTCAGCAGGTTGGCGCTCCAATTCTAAATTAAAAACATGTGTCATTCTTCCCTCACAAGAAATACGAAGAGCCTTCAAATTTAACTAGGAAATGAAATTATTAAATATCTGTGAGTGGAGATAACTGATTTTAAAAATTGAAATACAGTACTATAAATTTTAGACTGGTACAGAAAGACGTGCAAAGATGGACAACACTTTCTTTCAGACTTCACCTCCAGGATCGAAATTGTAAAAATAAATATTCCAAGGACCACAATTGAATAAGAAGTGGAGAAAATGGACGATACATGGACAAACTTGATAGACCAATTGCTGTTGCCCAGGATTGTACTTTGTTTTATTATTGTCATCTTGTTTTCGTATGCTTTCGTGATTTTGGTTAGTTGTTTATGGTTTATATGTGAGTGCAATGATTTGAAAAGTAATTTAAAAAAGTGCCATTCCCTTTCTCTGACTGTTGTAAGTCATTTAATGTTACCTTTGGTAACCATATATATTAGGCTCCCTTGTCCAAAAAAATTGATGAATGATGTAATGTAATACAAAACATAAAAAAAAAATAAAAATTTGGTCTTCATACCCAAATTGTATGATTCATCCCAGTAAATGCCAAGTACGTCTAATTATAATTTGCAAAAATGTACAATTTATTGGAAACAATATATGATTGATATATTTAAAGAGTATGAAATGAAAGTGTGACTTCCCATTTCAGGTGTAAAATGTGGGTGGAAAAATGCCAGCGGGAAGACCTAGTAGACAAATCACCAGAACATCTCTTCAGATACTATCGACTTTGTGCAAAGCATTTTGAAACTTCTGATGATAGTGTAAGTCATGTGATGAGATCAAATATATTAATTTTCCATTGTTAAGTCCTGTGTGTATAATGTTTAAACATTTACCCACAAAGCTCCATCCATGTATCAAATCACAACTGTTTGCACATCCTGTTTTAATGTGGTTTTGTTTTACAGAGTGAGCCGGTTACAGTGATAAAGGATGATGCCATACCAACTATATTTGATGATCCCAACAAACTTCAAAATGCGCAAGTAAAGCGCAGTAAAGAGATGGTATGTATTTAAAAAAAAAGAACCCTCTTTGACACTCTTCAAGCAAACTAATAATAATGGTGTAATTCTGGTGTGAACTATTGCTAACATATATATATACCCCTCCCCCCTCTTTAAAAAAAAATATATATTTTCAAGGATGAAGATACGAAGACCAGGGGAAGAAAAAGTGAGTAAAATGTGCACTATTTTTTTTTTTAAAACAAGCTGAATGCATTATTTGGTTCTCCACTTTTTTCACCCCTTCAGAAATCAAAAGCTCTCAAGCTGAAGTGGACAAGGAGGAGCCAAAAACAACTCCAGAGGAAGACACATACAAAAACTATCTCAGGTCTTTATTCGAAGCGCTTGTGTTGTTAGGAGAGCAAAACATTCCCGTCACCAGTTCCAATACTACTGAACAAGACTCTGTTGGATTAAACAACTTTGAGGCATTGCTCGAGTATCGCATGAGTTGCGGAGATGAGGGCATGAAGAAGTACGACGCAAATAGAGAGGGTTCGTCATCACTACAGCTCAAACAGCTGATTGAAGTGTGCGAGAAATGCATCCGGAGTAAGGTGATGGAGGACGTGAAAGAAAATGGCTTCTTCTCACTTATTACTGATGATCTGGTGAAGATTTCGGATGAGTGGTACCTCCCTGTCTTCCTGCGCTATGTGGATGACTCCAACTACCAGCGCGAGAGGTTTGTGGGTTTTTTGTCTTTCGATGGCGACGCAGACGTTTTGGCAGAGAAACTGCTATCTGAAATGATCAATGAATGGGGTTTGAACATGGAGAAGTGTCGAGGCCAAGCGCACTCATGCTCTGGAACACATTTTGCTAAAATTAAAGCATTTGCCGCCAAAGTCACTGAAAAGTATCCATTGGCCATGCTCACAGTTCGGCCGACTCAAGCCTTGAACATAACGCTCGCCAACGGGATGGCTTTGTCAGGAGTTCAGCTTGTCATGTGTACTCTGAAGAAAATTGAGTCTTTCTTCAACCAATCACCTTTACTGCGTCTGGAGTTGGAGCACGCCATTTCTGTTATTTACCCGGACAAAGAAGAGAAGGTCAAAGAGCTGAAAGAGACTTGTTGTACCGGTTGGACCAGAAGACACGATGCTTTTGAGGTGACGCTGGACCTTCTTGAGGCTTTGTTGCTTTGCGTGGACAGCGTGCATGACAATGAGGACTTGCGATGGAGCGACCAGATCACATATAATGCTTTGGAGATCTCAAAAGCTCTGGCTGACTTTGAGTTCATCATGGCCTTGGTTGTGCTGAAAAACACCATGATACTTTTAAGGGCATTTGGAAAAAACATCGAAGGGGAAGCAACAGATGTCTATTTTGCTGCTGGCAGCGTCAAAGCCGTGTTGCACTCTCTGAAGGAAGTATCCGACAATATTGACGTATACCATGAGTTCTGGACTGAAGAGGCGGTTAACCTCTCCGCCACGATGGAGATTCCAGTCGAACTTCCTCGGTCGCTCTTGAGGAAGCATCCGTCAGAGTTGGGAAGCCTTCAGCCAGAGAATTACTACAAAGAGCACCTTTCTCTTCCCGTGGTGAACCATACGCTCAAAGAAGTCACTGAACTCTTCAGTGATGACCACCTAAAAGCACTCAGATGTTTGTCGCTGGTCCCTTTTGTAGTTGAACTAAACAAGGCTGGGCAGCCTGAAGAAGAAAACATGTTGGTGTTTAAAAACGACATTCCTAACCCCGGTTCCCTCACCGCTGAGCTGCATTGTTGGTGGGTTAAATGGAATAAAAAAGGTAAAGGAGAAGTGTTGCTAAGCAGTCTGCAGGAAACGCTGCAGCAGGCTGACGTGAAGTTCTTCCCAAACATGCTAGCTGTCCTGAGACTACTGGGCGTCTTGCCTACTTTGGCTCTTGATATCAGTTGTGACGTGGCGTACAAGCGCTTCAAGATGTACATGCAAAACACCCCTGATGCAGCTAAATCAAAGAGCCTGGCTCTTCTGAACATAAACAATGACGTGGGATATGATTTGGATTCAATGGTAGAAGTCTATATGAAGACATACCCCGGCGGCGATGATGCTTTGTAGTTTTGTTTTTTTTAAACATTTTTTAACCGACTAGTTTTGAGGGAATGGTGCTCAATGAAATTATTTCCCTATGTTCTAGTCCTCCAAGCGCTAAGACTGATTTTAACATGTTAAGGTTTTTTCCCCCTCTCTTGTCTCTAGCTCTCTCTTTGAGATGAAATGTCAATGACTCATTAAAATTAACATTGAATACAAAAGTCTAAAAATGATACATTTGCCAAGTGCTTTAAATTATCCAGTTAGGAAGACAATTGTGACAGAAGCATCTTGTAAATGCCATTCAAGTTTACAATTATTCAAAATTACTACTGTGACAATCTCATTCGTTATCCACATTCCATAATTGTTTACATTTTTTTGTGTTGTGACAACTATACATTCTAAAATAAAATGTTTTCAAACGTTTGCATTATTTCTGTTTAATATCTGACTTTTGATCAGACTAAGCAATACAGTACTTTCTATTGTGGCTTTTCAGTAGATTGAGGACAATCATTAATTATCAGCACTCATAACTGGTGGTTAACTTCACTGTACTGCGCATACTCAGTGCAAAAAACCCCCAACAACCTTTTTGAAACCGAGAGCTACTTCTTGCATACTACATACTCCACAAATTACTTTTAATAATGTAATTATGAATTATGAAGCTGTTTCATAAAAACATCCACCTTTTATGAACTGAAGCCTTGATTCATAAATATTACTAGATATATTCCCTTACATATTATATTATGTTATTACTGTATTAGTATTATGAAAACCTGATGTGCTACAGAGTGCAGATTTGTAATGAGCCCCCCCAAAAAATATACAAATGCTTACTTGCCTCTCTAAAAAAAACATGTTTTGACAAGTGTAATTTGTAAAAAAAATAAAATAAAATAACATCAACGCGTGTGGACTGAGCAATAGTATAGATTTGTGAAACAATATTCAAATAACCAAATTGAGACCAGTGGTTTGGCGTCGCTAAATTTCACAGACCAGAGAATCCAGCCAATGAAGGCTATTGTGCTCTCTGCTGGACAACATGTTTCATTGCAGTATCGAGTTCCTGGTTCATATCACGGTCTCGGCGACTCGTGGAACACCACGCAGCATCAACTTTTTAAGAATGTAACTAGTCGAGTCTTAACTCGTTAAAATACTTTTAACTGGAATAGTGTTGACATTTACTGTTGCTGGTAGACGTTTCGCCACGGCATGAGTCCTTAGACTCAGTGCTGGTTTCGCTCTCATTGGACTACCCAGCTAAGCTAGCTAACTGGCTAGTTAGCAAGCTATATTGCTTTCCAAAATGACTAACTGCTGTGCTGCAGCCAATTGCGACTACCAGCAAGAAGGACCTGATAGCAGCATCCCACTTTTCAGCTTTCCCTTGGACCCGGAGCGGTAAGGCTTTTTCATGGTTGAGCGGGACATACGCGAGGTACCGAGCATGCAATAGAAATATGTTAGCCATCTGCCTTTAGCATTGTCGTTAGCTCAACATCATGTTGGCTAACAGTGACACAACTCAGTTGAAAATGGCGCAGACTCACCACGCTCCTAAAATAAGTCACGGTAAAATAAAGTAAATGCATTTGTTTTGAAAGAGAAATTGACTGCACCGGTTGGTGTGGTGTAATTACGAAGCGTTCGACGTTTTGGTAAAACGGAAAAAAGAGAGTAGTTGTAAACTTTTTGTTCTGCAAATTGCAAACCTCAATTTGTAAACGACGCCTACCGGCTCAGCGCGGTAACGAAGTGAGACTAGTTGAACTCATTACCCCACTTCAAAAAAATCATCGTGCCACTCAGCTTTTCGTAGGAAAAGCATCGGAAAACTTTGTAAACAATTAAGTCGTATTTCATTTCAAACCACTATGAGCAGTGCGATTTTGTTCTTTTTCTTCATTCCGGGCAATCAAGAATGACTCGCCGTGTATCTAATCCGATAACTCGGAGTCCAAAGTCGAATCTTAAAATGCTCCAATAATGTAGTTGCATCATCAAATTTAAATTTGAATTCACTGTCTCTCAACTTCAAGCCATCCACACCCGAAGTACTGCAGGTACCCCTGCAAGGTTTGTTATCTTCTTAAAAACAACCTTGCCGCTGATTTGTCATTAAAATGTTGCATAACAATTAACATATGCGAACGGCGTTTAAATATAGGAAGGAAGCGAAGAACACGCCAAGAATGCTGAAGTTAAGAGATAAGTGAATCACCCAATGAGCTGTTTATTGATACGTTAGGCAAATGGGGAGGAGGGTTAAAAAGGAGGAACTTAACGAAAGGATAGGAATTTTTTTATTTTTTTTATTTTTTTTACAAATTCAACACATTTATCAAAACGGAAAAAAAAACTTTCAAGACATAAGTATGCTTCTTTTAATTGTGCACAAAATGAACTAGCCACTGATGGCCAAGCGGGCGTGTCATAACTAATTCACATGTTGAGTCGTTGAGTTGATGTGTCTTAACCTCCATGGCAGAGGCTCCGTCGAACCCCCGAGACCGATTCACCGAACCCAGAGGGTTCAATCGAACCCAGGTTAAGAACCACTGTTTTAGACATTGTAAAAGTCCTAAGAGATGGGAATAAATTTAATTTGATCAAACAGCTCTCTGTGGAGCAATAGATATACACTGCATGAGTCATAATGTTAGTTAGATATATATCTCCACCACTCATGTTACAATTGTCAAAAATTAAGATCACATAGCTGTGTAATGTAAAGGAAGACAGCCGTGTGGGATATGTGGAGGTGAGCCCAAGTATAGCAGTTGTGCGCATGAAGTCAAGGCAAAACGTACAAACTGCGGAGGGGATTACGATGCCAATTAGAGAGTTTGACAAGAGGAAAAATGTTATATTAATAGTTCAAATCAAAAGAGTCCAGATAAAGTGGCAGTGGCAAAATCAATTTACCTGGCTCAGGCATATTGAGGAAGGCATGCACTGTTATTGATGCCAAAAGCACTGCCCCGCAATTGCTGCTTCCGTTGTGGGACAGCCATCACCCAACTATAGGCTGGACACACAAAAAAAGACATGAGGTAACGGCCATTCACAAAGCAGCAGAAGAGGAGAAGTTTATTCAAGATTATAGTACCTAAAAGCACTCAACCAATAAAGTTACAAAACCCGAAATAATATAGTTTAGATCGATAGTTGTATTTTTTTGTTTGGTTTTGTTTTTTACGGAGGACCCTGCAGCGTGCTCTTGCAGCACAGGTGGACACGGACCGCAGTGTACTTGAAAGCTGCTCCAAAATAATCGATGAGTGTCTCAAACTCAAATGGCCCCACCACGCAAGCTATGAGCCCATCATTCTTCCATGCAAGTTTTAATAAATGAATGCAGGGTGGCGCGGTGGTGGGGTGGTCGTTTCCCAGGCCAGAGGTTGGAGGTTCGATCCCCAGCCGGCACGACCGTGTCAGTGTCCTTGCTCCTGAAGCTGCGTCATCAGTAGGTGAAGGAGGTAACAGTGTCAAGCGCTTTGAGTACCCGAGGTAGAAAAGCACTGTATAAGTGACAGCCATGTTCCTATTGGAAATCTTAACTTAAAGTATGCTTCCTGTCAAAGAAAGCGAGTCAGTTACAGAATACCTGCACGTCATGGCGCATGGTCAGGATGATACCACCTCTGCCCCACTTTGAGCCAGGAAAAACCCTGAATTAGAATATAATATCAATTAGTAATACAATTAAAATATACCAAATAATTATATAGCCATTATCCAACGTATATTAAATAATAGACTAGCAAATATTGTAATAGCTATTGTGGTGAAAGACGGTGACAAGAACTAAGTTGATGTTAAAGTAATAAACGAGGATATACTTACAAATAGATATTTGGATCAGTAAATTGATAAATTATTATGTTTGAAATCCAATCTGATCAGTAACCGTTTCGAGGGGAAATTGGAACTGCTTTCTGAATTGCAATCATTCATGAGGTAATTATGAAGTGCAAAATACTGTATGTGAGCCAGGCTAATTAATGGCAAGTGAAAAAGAGCTTTTGTTTATCCAAAAGAAGAGATTGTAAGCTAGTCGTGACTTTATATTTACTAAACTCAAGGATAATCGAAGAAAAAAAAACAGGCAAGTTGAAATCTACTATGTACTTGTGAAGACATTCAGCTCTCCGAAGTGAAAAGGACAGAGATTTCTGATTGTGTTTTCCCTCGATTTTCAGCTGCCAACAATGGTTGACGAACTGTTGTCGCCAAGATTTGGCGTCGCAACCTCCAGAGGAACTGCACAAACTCTACAAACTTTGTGCAAAACATTTCGAGCCCTCTTTGATAACTGTTCAGGTAAAAATTATGGATGTGTTTGTTCGTCTCATACTCAGTTTTTGTGCATATGACGCTTGTTCTACACACACATTTTCATAGTTGTCTAGCAGTATATTATTTTCAGTGTTGCTGTGTCAAACTTGACATTTCGATTGGAGTTAGTGTTGTATTATTTTGGGACGGGGGTGGGGGCTGTGGGAGCTGCTTGGAAAAAAAACAAAAACATTTTGACTCCAGTTTGAACAACTGCAAATTATGAACCAAATTAAATGAAGACTAAACAATTGCATTTGTTAAATGCACACTAAAATCACATTCACATTCCCTAACAAAGTTTGTTTCTTGTGTCATCACCGATTGTTCAAAAGTGTTTTGCTCCATATCCGAAAATGCACTTATGGACCATATTTGGCCGTCAAAATTTTTTTGTGACTAATTGTCTCGATCAGGCGTCTGTCGGTAGTTGATGGCCTGACACAGCAGCGCAGTCTTGACATATCGAACGCTTGAAGATTTTTAAATATGTCTTTGTCCAATGAAAAACATGTTTGATGAAAATTGGTGAATTGTTTTGATTGAATGAATGCAAAATGTTCATGTTTTAGACCAAAAGAAGAACTTTTACTTTTAAGTCCAAGCAAAAGTTCAAGTTGTTTTTCTTCATTTCCAGAAATGTCTCTCGAATGACGATGCTGTTCCAACAATATTTGATTTTGGTGTACCCACCAATAATGAATCAACGTGTAACAGGAAACGTGCCGGAGGCCCTGTAAGTGTGTCACTGTCTGTTACAAATGTCTCTTTAATGTTTCTTTCAGATATTTAAAAAATAAACTTCATTATTATTTTAAAATACAGGTGGAAGAGGAACCCACTGTGAAGAAGACAAAAGGTAAAATTCAAAATATTGAAATCCAGATGAGAGTCTAGTTAATCTGGATGTTTTTTTAAATTGATGCTGATTCTGATATTTGGCTGAATAAAATTCTGACCATCAGTTAATTGGCTAATTAGTTAATTATATATATATATATATATATATATTAGGGTGGTCCCACACACACACACACACACACACACACACACACACACACATATATATCTTTAACTCTTTC